AGTGTTATGCCTGCATGTGGGTAAGTGCACCCATCCTGCAATGTCCTCAGAGGACAGAAGAGGCTGTCAGGTCCCCTGAAACTGGAGTTACAGACAGTTGTTAGCTGCCATGTGGGTGCTGGGATTCGAACCCGGGTCTTCTGCAAGAACATCCAGTGGCCTTAACCACTGAGCCATCTCTCCAGCCCAAAATACTTATCTTAAAGTGACATCTAGGAATGAATGCACTAAATGAGAGTTTAATGAGAATCAAAACCACAGGAGGCTCTTGGAATGAGTATGGAATGAATATGGAGGTGTTTTGATGCAGATTCTCTCAAGATGAAAAAGATTTTAATTTTCACCACTCCTTTTGGGCTCAACAACAACAACAAAAATATATTGATCAATATTTTTTCCCAGAAGCACCCTCAACTTATCTTGATTCTCCTAGAAACTAAATGTGTTTGGGCATTTCTTATGGCAGATGAATGTACAGGGCAGCTATCAGATTAAAGGCTTGTTTTCACATCTGGAATGAGAGTTACTGCTCTGCTATTTAAGATTGTGTGCTGGCACCTAAGGATGGAAATCGGTGACCATGGACTGGAGGCTATTTTGACAAAGTAAGAAAAGCTAAATGTATCAGAAGTTCCAGGAAGGGGCAATTCTATCTGGATTTGAGAAAATATCCTGTTCAAAAGTTCTTTGTAAAGACCCTGGAGCACTTTGCAGAAGATAGTTTATGATAAAAAGTAGTTCAGTCATTATTAAGGGCCTAATGGTAAGTGTGTGCTATAAACATGAATACGCTTATTACCTCATCTAACTGCCATATTACAGATAGGTAAGTGGAAAGTCAGATCTGGGATTTTCCCAAGGTGAAAAATAGCAGCTCATCATGCACATAATGACTTTAAAGAACATATCTTTTCTTACTCTTTTTTTTTTTTTTTTTTTTTTTTTTTTTTTTTTTTTTGGCTTTTTGAGACAGGGTCTCCCAGTAACCCCAGCTGGCCTGGAACTCACAGAGATCTACCTGCCTCTGTCTCCTGAGTACTGGGACTAAAAAGGCTTGTACCACCACACCCAGTCTTTTCTTACTCTTTAACAGCTGAGATTTCTATTTCTGCTTGTTGCCTTCTGTTGTTTTTTTTTTTTTTTTGTCCTTTGTGGTTGTGAATAACAACAGCAAGACTATTACTGTTTGTATATTTTAATTGCCATTTAAAATTAGTTTTCTGGATTATAAGAATTGAAACTTTCTTTGTTCTCATTAGTAGCCTTTCATGTAAACTTTATTAAATGGGTATAATAAAGCCACACGTTGTTCTCTAGTCTTATCATATATTGATACCATGGCCACATCACTGTAACTTTTTTTATTTTGTGTTTTGAGACAGGGCCTTGTTTAGATCAGGCTGACTTCAAACCTGTGATCCTCCCCAACACTGGGATTATAGATGTGTGCTTCTACCCCTGGATCACTATACCTTTTAAAAAATTATTCATTTATTTATTATCTATCATCTATCTATCTATCTATCTATCTATCTATCTATCTATCTATCTATTTATTTATTTATTTGTGTGTATGAGTGTTATGACTGCATGTATGTGAATGCACCCAAGTCCTGCAGTGCCCTTGGAAGCCAGAAGGTATCAGATCCCCTGGAAGTAGAGTTACCCAGTGTTGTTAGCCACCACATGTGTGCTGGAAATTGAACCTAGATCTTCTGCAAGAACAGTCAGTGGTCTTAACCGCTGAGCAATCTCTCCAGCCCCCGCTGTACCTTTTTTAAAGAAAAAATTTATGCTAGGGACTCTTTTGAATTGATAGAGAATCCCTAGTACAAATTTGTTTTCGTTTAAATTTTTTTTTCAATTTTATTAATCGTGTGTGTGTGTGTGTGTGTGTGTGGTGTATGCGCGCGTGCACACTCTTAAAAGCATCTGATCCCCTGGAGTGGTTGCGAGCCACAGGGGACATGCAGTTGTGAGCCACAGGGACGTGAGTGCTGGGAACCTAACACATGTCAATTGGAAAAGAGGCACGCACTCTTAACCGTGACCCACCTCTCCAGCCCCGAAATTTGTTTTCTTAAAGTCAACAGATCCAAGAATCTACAGCTGGGGACTTAGTCTGAACTTGGGTTTGTGGAGTTTGGTGTGGTTTGGGGGTTTTGGTGCTGAGGACCAAGCCCAGACCCTCTAACAGGCTAAGCGCCCCCTTCCTTTGAGGTGCGTCCCACCCCAAACTTCTCATCCCTGAGCTTGGTTTCCACAGGCGCATAACCATCTTGGGAGATCTCTGCCCCAGTGTGGCAGCAGCCAAGATGAGGAAAGGCATTGGAACCTTCTGGATGGGCATAATCTGGAGCCCTTTCCGGGTGGCTGCGTGCAAAGCGCACAAGGCGCGGGCCAGGTTCCAGCTCGTCCCAGAGTACGCGCGCCTCCTAGCGGCCTGAGCCCGGCACTGGGCGCCTGGAGGGCGATGAGCCTGGGGATCCCTCCCCGGCCCAAGGCTGGGGACTTTCAGAGCCACTACGTCATCCGCTCTAAAACAACCTCAAGCTCCTGGTACAAGGCTCCCTTCACTAGAGTGAAGCTGCGCTGCACAGCCCCGCCACGTCCCACTTTCCTCGGGCTGGCTCCGGCGGTGACGCACCGTCTCGGGGTCTGCAGCTGTGCAGCGTCACCCGCCCCGGTGCGCACCGGTTTCTTGGCCTGGGAGGTTGGCTGCAGGGAGCTGGGCTGCATTTCAGAGAAGAGCCGAGCGAACCCCCAGATCCTGCACCTGAGGGGACCGAGCCCCCGGGAAGGGGAAGAACTTGTAGTCGTTTGCAGCGGGACAATGCCGACTTTTGAACCTCTAACCACTAAGCAAACAACCCTTGTGCTCTTGCTCCACTGTCCAAACAGGGTTTATTGACAGGCGTTTCACGGCAACGCATAGCAACGGCGGCGTAGGCTAGGGCCCCGCGTTAAGGGCGCGGCTGGGCCGCAGGGCCTGGCGCTCTCTCTTTGTGCGGGGAATCTGGGGGCCTTGGGGATCACCCGGCCCTGAACCTGGGAGCTCCCGCCCCACAGACGCCCAGCAGCTTCCCGCTGGATGGCCACCCCTCCCTTACCGCTGCGAGGCCAGGCGCCCGGGAGTAACCACCAGAGCCTCTTTCCCCATTTTGGAGCACAACCCATTTTGGAGCACAAGTGCAATCCGGCTTTCCCCTTCTAGGAGCACAAGCGCAACCACCAGAGCCTCTTTCCCCATTTTGGAGCACAAGTGCAATCTGGCTTTCCTCATCTAGGAGCACAAGCGCAACCCGGAAGGGCGGCAGGATTGGGGAGCTGCTGCCCGGGGTAGATGGCCATGTGTCCCCCAACTTCGCCCTGACTCCCCCTCTGCCCTTCCCTCCAGTTCCCTCCGAGGAGGGGCTGGTCTGGCATTAAGGCTCGGGGAAGACCTAAATGGAGGGCAAAGCCTTCCTTCCCCAGGCCTTGCCCCGGGATCCAGACCCTGAAGGGCTGCAGATGAGCCAAATAAGCAACCACTAGTTGGATCTCATACTGATCTTAAATTCTTGTCTACAGAGAGTGGGGGTGCCAGGATAAGGACACAGGTAAGGAACTGTAGGCAGAATGCCTAGTGATTCAGAGGACTATCTTCATGGAAATGTCGCCTAGGGAAACAGAAAAATATTAATCAATGATTATGTGGAACTTGCTGGGCTAAGGGGCATACCTGGGAGTGTGTGTGTTGGGGGGTGTTACTGATTGAGGCCAGATTGCTTGAGAAGGGAGATGAGGCCCTCTCACCCCACCCCCACAATTCCACAGCCTGCTAGGAGCAGCTGAGCAGCTGACGACTCAGATGTGCATTTTGCCCAAAGGCAACCCCAGGAAATCCACACATTCCACAGTTCAAGAGTGGACTCGGCCCGGGTGGGGGTGGGGGGGGCGGGGAGGACTCAGAGCCTACTCTTTCAGGCTTTGGAAAGCTCTGGAGTAAAAGGAGGCTCCCCAGATAACCACCTCCACCCTTCTCGCTGTTTTTTTTGTTTTTGTTTTTTCCAATTTCTAGTTTGCAAGCAGAGATCTCATTTCCTTGAAAAAAATAATTTCAGTCAAAATCTGAAAAGGATAAATTTCATAATCTGAAAACCGGAAAGTTCATTTATCTTTTTTTTTTTAGAAAAAAAAAGTCAAATGTCTTTTGATACCCCCACTTCCCCTCACCATATCATGTCTCTATCCATAGATCCAGAAGGGTTTTAAAATGCTGGCTTGGTTTGTTACACAGATCAATGACCCACACAGCAGCAACAACTTCCCTTCTTCATCAGCCAAAGACTGAAAAGGACAGGAAGCCCAGGTTGGCTCTGGCATTTACAGCACTGACATACATTCAGCTTGGAGAAGCTCTGGTGACAGGCTTTCTAAACAAGCCCCTTTGGCAAGGGCCTGGAGTCCACTAACCACCCCCTCACACCACATCCCAGAACCCACTGACTCTTCTGTGAAGGCAGAAGAAAGACACAACCACCTGGGGGTTCTGCAGACTTTGGTGACTAGCTTTCTATTTTAGCTGCCTCTGGCTTCTGCAGTTTAAACTATACTGGCCCCTGAGGCTCAGGACAGCCAGCTGGTTCTCAGAAAGCAGTGGGTAGGAAACAGCCATGTTGGCCCAAGTATTGCCCATTCCCACTTCACTCTCTTTTCTCAGTTCCAATGAGAAATGCAGTTCAAAAAGTTTAAAGGTGAACAGCTGGGGCGCAGAAGAGGCTGAAAAGTTGGTGCCTGTAGCCAGCCAGTCCAGATGCGGGGCCTGTCTGTCATACCAAATGAAGCCTATGTGGCCACTTCCTGCATCTTTCCTGGCAGGAAGAGTCAGAATGGAGAAAATAAAAAAATCCGGACAATATTTTCCTTGAGGCCCACAATCCCACTTGTCTTTACTCCTGTCCCCCCATATTTTCCTGAGAGCTAGGTTTGCAGGTATTGCTTGTGGGTGGGAAGGGAGGGGTCTCTTCTGAGGATTCTAGCAGCATCTGAGTTCCTCATGGCTCAGCCTGAAATTGCTCTGCCACAGCTCCAGACCACTGGGGTCACTGCGTGACAGTAGGGTTTAACACCCCTCCAGCTGGCCCCAGAACTCCAGGGACAGAACCAGGAACTGAGCCTTGCAGGGAAGACACAGGACTCAAGGGCTCTGGCACACTTCTTAGCGTGCCTGGCTGAGGCTGGGAAGGCTGTGTTGGAGGTGCGGGGGGCTGCTGCTGTTGCTGCTGCTGCTGCTGTTGCAATTTCTTCTTGTTGATTTTCCTTTCCTTTGCTCTGCGATTCTGAAACCAAATTTTAACCTAGAAATGACAAAATAGAAGATAGTAGAGAAGACATGAAAGAAAAGAAAAACAGTACCACCAATATCCTTCTCTCCCATAAAAGTACTTCCAACTCTTCAGAAGCTCTCGTCTGATATCTTCCTAATAGCCCAGTGCTAGAGCGTTCCTAGGCCCAACTCAGCCTCACAAGAAGTGTCCTCCCTTGGGCTGGAGAGATGGCTTAGCAGTTAAGAACAGATTGTTCTTGCAGAAGACCCGGGTTCGAATCCCAGCACCCACATGGCAGCTAACAACTGTCTGTAACTCCAGTTCCAGGGGGACCTGACAGCCTCTTCTGTCCTCCGAGGACATTGCAGGATGGGTGTGCACTTACCCACATGCAGACATAACACTCATACACTTAAAAAAAAAAAAAAAAAAAAAAGAAGTGTCCTCCCTCCTCCTTCCTTGGCCCTTTCCCCCCTTGTTTCCCCTCTTGTTTCTTTCCAAAAGAGTCTTTACTAGAAGCTGAGTCTTAGAGTCAAGGAAAACAGAAATTTGCTGTGAAGTTCCTCACTACATAGGCAGGTGGTCAGTGCTAGGTGTGCGCCACAGGACAACTTTGGCCCTTGAAGCTAAACTGCGATGCAATATTCCTTCCTCACCTTGGTGCTGGAAATGAGGTTTAATGCGTAACTTCCTGGCTGTGAATTTGGTCTTTTTTTCTCCCCCTAGACTATAGAGAGTATTCATGAACTAAGTGTTGCCTCTAATTTTTATGAGTAGACCTGGCCTTTACTATTTTCATTTTTCCTAGTGCTGGGCACAAAAAGGATGAATATTTTAAAATTTTATTTATTTTTATTTTATGTGTATGCATATATTGCCTGCATATAGGTAAGCACACCCATGTCCTGCAATGCCAATGGAAGACAAAAGAGGCTGTCGGATGTAGAACTGGAGTTACGGACAGTCGTTAGCTGCCATGTGGGTTCTGGGATTTGAATCCAGGTCTTCTGCAAGAGCAGTCAGTGTTCTTAACCACTGAGCCATCTCTCCAGCCCCAAGAGAGTGTATTATAATATGCCTTTATGGACTGAAGTTCTGGCTTCAGTTATAGTAGTGTCTTGGCTTTTTTTTTCCTTGCACCTCTCAGATCCCTCAAAATAGAAAAGTGATTCACAAACATCAGGAAAGACAACCAGAGGTGGGAGAAAGCCCCCCTTTAAATAAGTACACAAAACGTTAATGGCTTTCTCCTTTTGCCTGCTCACAGAACTAGACAGACCCTTGGCCAGGCTTTCTAATGCTGACCTCTAGACACCCACCTCCCCCAGACAATAGTTAGACCCAGGGGAAGCAAGGAGGTTCCCACCTGCCTCTCAGAGAGCCCCAGTGTGGCAGCAAGCTCAGCTTTCCTCCTGATGGTGATGTAGCGGCTGTAGTGAAATTCCTTCTCCAGCTCCAGCCGCTGGTGGTCTGTGTATACCACTCGGTATTTGTCTTTTGTCCTGGTTTTCACTGTGGAGGAAGGAGAAGTTTTGGCTAAGAACTGTAACTCATCAGTCACAGGTAATGACAATCCTCCCTAACCCAGGGGCCATTTCTCTTCTTCCACTGATGGGGTTGGGGGGGCAGGTTTGGTGGCTGCTGCAGAGCCTGATAATATTCACCCGCAGGATACTGGCAGAATGGAAGGGTGTGAGCCTTACAGGTCAACTAAACTAAAACTAAATCTCTCACACAGAGAAGTAGATGAGCCCAGCCCCCCTTTCCATAAACCAAACACATTTCTGGAATATATTTAGCACCAGGAGAAAGAGAGGCAGGGAAGTGGCCAGAGTGCCAAGAATATCCATTTTACCAGGAAGCCCACCCTGAAAACACCTGGAACTGTGGTGTCAGGGTGGGAGTTACTTTCTGTTTACTTTAGTTCACATGGAAAGAGGAGTGCAGGGCTGACATTCCTACAAGTCCCTAGAATCATTCCCCAGGAACACCAGGCTCCTGTCTTGAAATTCTGAGCTGGGTTCCTTGTTGGTCAAGGGAAAAATCCCTCTTGCTGGGAACACTTCATACTTGTCTAACCAGGTTAGGCCCAGGGCACCTTTTCTTTTAAAATTCTCCATTTATTTCCTCTGCAAACCCCAACAGAGCTATCCTAACCAGTGATCTATGATCATTGAATTGAGTCAACATATTAAATCTTGGATTGATTGTTTTACTGAAGGGCCTTGACAAATAGTGCAGTTCCTACACTGAGGCCTGACTGTTCACCGGGGTCTGTCACGGTCAGATGTCAACAGAATTCCTTCAAGGAACTGTCCTTTCTTACTCCACCCCAGGTCCCACCTTGGAGGGGTCTGGAAGCTGACCAGGTTCTAGCGTCCACTGCCCAGTCAGACAGGAAGATCTAAGGGGATGGGAGTTACCCAGAGGTGTTTAAGGCCCCCGCAGGCCGACTTTGTTCAGGTAAAACCCTTTGCAAACCACAACAAAAGCGCCCTGGGAAGATACAGGAGGGATCAGAGAGAGCTCCCCCAGCCGCTGAAAGGGGAACACAGCCGCAAACAATGCAGGACAAGGCGATCTTATCAAAGAAAAGCCCTTTCAATGCCTTAATAACAACCGAATTCTGTTTGAATTACCACTACTGAGCAAATGGCGGCCTAGGCTTTCATCCCCTACCCCGCCAGGAGCATTAACATAAACACAGCCCGGCAGGCGCATTTGAATGGGCGCTGCGGCCCCGACCCCGCGCCTCCTGGGGAAGGAAAGAATACTAAGGCGTCCGGAGCCGGTTCACGCGCGCTACCGGAGCCGGTTCACACGCGCTACACGCATGAAACCCTCACAACTGCACTCAGTACTGCCCCTCTGCAAAGGGCGACTCGACCAGATTGGGTTGTGCTAACAGACAGGACAGGGCTGGCGCGACGGCCGGATTAGAGTCCTAAGGGACACCTCCAGATGTGGGGAGCGGGGTGCCGGGCAGTTCTCGCTAGCCGAACACCCCGGCAGATGTACTCGCCTTGGGATGGCTGCCCTTTCAGTACCCCGATCGGGCTTGGGAACTCGGTGATCAGGACCCCGTGCGCTCTACGCTCCCGAGGGCCTGGGAGGCGCCCCGCACCCCCTGGGAACTAAGGAGAGGGACTGAAAGGGAGGAATAAGAAGGACTTGTCAGAATTCATTATTGACTGCGAAAGTCACCACCCTCTTTCCGGGCCCTAAAAAAGACAATGGCAGGGCTGGAAAGGTGTATATCAAAGCTAGCCCGGCCGCGTACCCGCCTCCGTTCCTTGACAGATGACGCTCGGCAGAGGAGCCGGGCTCCTGCACTGCGGGCCTCTGCCTCCCCACATTAACATCAGAAGGGCGCCGGGCGCCGACAGCGGCCAAGCCACCTAGGCGCGGGACTTCACAGCGGTCTCTCATCTGCTGACCCGGCGGCCTGGGCTCCTGTGGCTTCCCCTCCCCCTCTCCGACCCCAGGCCACCCGCCCCCGACATGCAAAAGGCCGGAGACCTCCGCAGGGGACTCCGGCCCACTGCGCTCCAGGCAAGCTTGTAGAAGGTTTGGGGCGCTCGGGTCAGGCATCCAGCCCAGATAGAACAGGGGTGCTTCCTCTTGGGAAGGATCAAGCCAAAGCTTTGAGGTCCACTTGAGGCTAATATATGGTCTTTTCCCCCTAGCAGCAATTCCCACCCGGATGCTCCCGGGTGCGCTCAGTGACGCAGAAGTCTATGTCCAGAGACAGGTCCCCAAGAGGCGCTCTGATTTATACCGCTGTAATTGGCTATAAACTTCCCTAAAGTGGCCATAACCTGTATGAGGCACGGCCTGACCAGCAAGGAGCAAACCGAAAGGAGCGGAAGCGCAAAGTGCTGGAGAAGACTTCTCGAATAAAAAGGGTACTCCGAAGCCCGTCTCCTGCCACACCTTTTCTTACTTCCTTCCCACCCCCTTACACATCCGAACATCAGAAGGGGCAGACCCGGGGCCCAACGAGTCCCACAGTTCGGGAAGCCTAGAGTATTTGCTGGAGCACACAACACGGGCGTACACAGGAGATTCTTGCAGGGAAGGTTCAGGGGACATGGTCCCTCTTCTGAAGACGCGGCTGAATCCGCCCAGGGTTTTCTCTTCCTGCTTCTTGCTTTGTGCTGACAGGAGAGGAGTCCCACTTCTGGTCCCTAGATCTCGAGATTTTGTCGGAATAATCATTTGGCAGAAGAAAGGTTCAGGGATCCAGGAGCGTCCCCTTCCCCTTAGCTCCTGAGGCCAGTGCCTTCTCACCATCGAAGCACAGCAACCGCCTGTGTCTGCTCGCAGCAGCTCTGACCCCTTGAATTAGCCCTAAAGGCCAAACTGGTCCTAACGCAGCCTCCCCACACGCACTGGCCGCTACTTTTTGGGGTGACTGAGGTGGGGGTGGGGTGGGAGAAGTGGTGTAGACCTGGCAAGTGGAAGCCCGGGCTCCCTCTTCTCCACGGCCGGGAGCTGTTAAAGCAGTGCCCCCGGCAGCAAAGGAGAGGACGTGATTCTGCTCCCGGCACTCAGTGCTTACGACATTCCTGGGAGCTTCCCGAAGGTGTCCCGAGATTGCTAAAGAGGAACTGTTAGAAAGGAAACCTTTCCTCCGCCCTAAACGGAACCCCGGGTTGTGAGACCCCCCAAATCGTCAGTGAAACCCCGGGAGCGACTCCTGAATTTCTACCCTCGGCCCCTCCCTCCTGTCTCTGAGCTCGCGGACAGCCCGGATGCGCTCTGAACTTGGGGCCGGCTGGGTCACAGGACCCTGCTGCTAGCCGCAGTTGCTGCTTACCTTGGCTCCCCATGGACTGCTGCGCTGGCTTCCGCATCCACTCACACAGGTTCCGCCGCTGGCCGCTGGGGGACAGCTGCTCAGCTGCGGCAGTGGCGCCGGGCCCTGGAGGGCCGGGGTTGAGCGTCTGCAGCAAGCCGGAGGCGCAGGATGGCGCGGCTGCAGGGTGGTGCGGATGGTGATGCGGGTGGTGATGAGCGTGGTAGTCTGCCGGGCTGCTGTAGCCCATGGCGGCGGCGGGGGAGCCTCCGTTGAGGCCGTGGGCCACCGCGTTGGCTGCGCCCCCAGGCGCATAGCCGTTCCAGTCCTCTCGGAGCGGGGCACCATACGCTGCGGGCCAGGACGGTCCTGGGGACTGCGCGCTGTCCAAGTTCGCCGCCGCAGCCGCCGCCGCCGCCACGTGGTAACCACCGTAGTCCGGGTACTGCGGGGGGCTGACAAAGTTCTGCGGCGCCAGGTTGAGGCCGCCAGAGTGGCGCACGGAGCTGGGGTACATGCTCACGTCCTTGTCCAGGAGGTAGCTCACGTACATGGTGGCGGGGGACCGAGAGCAGACCTCACCATGCTGCCTGGGGACGAACGCTGAAGGCTGCGGGAAGCGCAGGGCGCGGAGGGGAAGGGACAAGGGGGCGAGAGGAGCGACGGGTGGCTGCGCCTCAGCCCGGTGCACGGCTGGCTCCTTGCAGCGCTTCTGCCTCCGAGGCAGTCCCTCCCTCTGACCAGCCTCCTCCCTCTCTTCCTTCTTTCCTCCCACCTCCTTGCCACTACGCTGCAGAGGCGGGGAAGCCCCGCCACAGGCTGGTGTGCGGAGCCCCTGGCCGGCTGCCTTACGTGATTAACGAGTGTTTACAAGACTCTATTAGTAATGACACAGACACCAATGGCTGGAGACGTCGAGGCGCAGCACGCACTCTGCGCACAGCCCCCCAGAAACACAATTTGCATTTTAAAAGATGGCTGGGGGGGGGGCTCGGGAGAGGGCAGCGACCAGATCACAGCTAAATATTCAATCCTTTATTGTTAAGAGCTTCCTTCTTCCAACCTGATGCACTTTAACCTCCAATCACAGGTTCAAAGAATGAAATCAAGGGACTTGCGAAAGCCTTGGGGAGAGAAAGAGCTATCTCGGTGGGAATCTGGGCAGTCTTGGTCGGGCATTCACTGGGAGTAGGCGGACTAGAAACTCCTGTCCCAAAGAGAAGAAAAAAAGAAGCCATGGCTTTGATGAAAACATTTCTGACCAACCTGGGAGGCGGTGTGTGGCACTCTTAAGACTGGGGCCGTTCCTTCCCACTCCAAGCCCCAGAACAGGAGGCCGGAGGACTGTCGTCCTAAACAGCTGTCAGCACTAGTCATTTATTTCCTTACCCATGGAAATCACTTGCCCTCTGACCGAGAGACAAATGATGGTTCTAGCATCAGGCTGCACCCTCAAATTCGTCTTAGACTTAGGTTCTGAGTTCAATTAAAGCAATCATTTTTTAAAATTACATTAAAGAACCGAAAATCAGCTACCAACGTATGACAAGTTTGGTTAGTGCTTACCTTAGAAGGCAGTAATTGGAAGAGAGCTGGAGGGGATTGCTAGGATCTTGGTAAATTTCCATCCCTTGAGGAAAGTGCTAGTTACACAATGTGTTAAGTTAGAAAAGTCCTTCCAGCTACACTTAAGGTTTTTTGTTGTTGTTGTTTTTGTTTTTTTGTCTTTTTGAGACAGTCTCCCTGTAGCCCCAGCTGTCCTGGAACCCACTATGTAGACCAGGCTGGCCTTGAACTCACAGAGATCCACTTGCCTCTGCCTCTGCCTCTGCTGGGATTAAAGGTGTGCGCCACCACGTCCTGCTGTGTTTAAGATTTTTTTAAGTGGTTAAAAAAGTAAGGAAATGATTTCTGATATAACTTAGCTCGTGTTTATGTCTTGCATCATAACTCTGTTTTAAAAACACTTTCTCCTTTATAAAGTAAAACATTCTCTAAAGAATTTTGTTTTCCATTCCAGAAAATGAGATGGCAGGATACTCTGCCAGGATTAATTATTGCTAATGAAAGGCTCTGAATGGGAAAATGCTAAGAAACAATCCCATTGGTTTTTGGAGGTTTGTTGTGATGGGGCACAGGACTGGAAGTGACCCAGAGGGATAAATACCTGAATTTCTCCAGGAGCGCCTGTGCCCATCTCTGTAATGGTGAGGAGGCCAAGTGAGACCTGGTCCTAGTTGCTACCACTTTGGATAGGAGGATAGCAACTGCCCAGCCCCAGGGCAGCCCTACTCAGCTCTCATTTACCTCACTGGGAACCCAATACTACTGGCGGTACTCTTTCCTGGGGCCCCACACTTGTGCATTCTCCTAGTTGAGTGCCTCTCTCAGTATTTTTCCTGCCTGGGTCACTGTTCCAGTATTCTTCATCTCCCTTAATCTTCACATCAGCAAACTGCTTAATGTAGACAAATCAAAGTGCTACATATATCAGAAGTAGCCTACAACTTGGAAACTGTAGATTCCTTCCACTTTTGCATTTTGTTAGGAAGGTTAAAATAGGGGGTGTCTGGATATGTAAGAGCCAAGAGCTGTCCCCTAAAAGGCCAGGGACCCTTGTTGCTCCTCCTTGAAGCCCTGTCAGAAGGTTATCAGGAAAAGCAAGAGTGCCATCTCACCTCCCAAGAAATAAAACTTGAAAAAAAAAAAAAAAAACTATTTCAGAACCCCAATCATGAAGGAAAGGGCAGAAAGGGGTGTTTGGAGTCCCCATAGAGTGACCAGAAAGTGTGAGGTTAAATAGTGGGCACTGCAGGCTTTTGATCTTGGGAATATCCTTCTCTTCCTGAGACTCAATACCCCTTTCCACCCCTCATGTCCCCTCCCTAGCCCAAGCTCTGGAAGCCCAAACCCAGGCCCAGGCAAAGCCTGTGTCTTCAGAATGCAGGCATTCTGGCATTCTTTGGAACAATCACTTTATTAGGGACAGCCATTCCCTCAACCCTGTGGTGGCCACTTCCTGAGTTTTTATGGCCCAGGCTGCCAGCCACTGGCTAATTGTCCCCATTTTCCAGCTGTGTCTCTGAGGTCTGCCTTAGAGAAAGGACTCCAACCTGGGCACCCAATTGTTTGGGGAGCAGCCAGGCCTAACTCTGTTCCTGTAGGTCAAGCCAGGGGCCCCAGAGCTGACAAAGCCACAGGGAAGCCTGAGGCTTGGTTGGGGTGCTTCAGCCCAAGAAAGAAAATGGTCATTTAAAAAAAAAGGGGGGGACTTGGTTTTCCTCCCTGCAAAACACTGGCCATCCTAGTAGTAGCACAACTGTGACTACAGTCTCAGAATCTGGGCTGTTTGGTAAGAAGAAAGGAGCTGGCAAATGATATCTTCAAACTGGAAATGTTGTAAATCTGGTCCCGGATAGCAGGGTTCTCCAAGAAAGGGCCCAGCTGGGTTCCCCAAAGGGACTAAGTTGTGGGAGCAGTTCTGAATTCTATAGGGAACAGTTCTGAATTCTATAGAAGGTGTAGAAGGTGGCAGATGGAAAGGAAGCCTGGGTGTCTTTCCACTGGGACAGTCCTAGCAGGTTGGCAGGTTGATGGTCCTTGCCTGACCTCTGGAAACCTCTTCTTGGCTGGAGCATGTCTTCTAGACTAAGTCTGGCCCACAGCTATGGCAGGATCCAGAATCACTTGCACCAAAGTCCCTCTCAGGGCTTTCTTCCTCTTGAAGCAAAGTGCCTGTGGCAGCTTCTTAGAGTCTCTTAGACTAAGCTGAGAATACACAAGAAGAGACCATTGTAAATGTCCTCTACCACTCTGTTGGAGGCTACCTTCCAAAGGTATCAGTCACCAACCCTCTGTGAGAGGCAGACTTTTGGGGAAGTCTTGGGGCTAGAACTGGTCCGGAGCTGCCTGCCAGAGCAGGAGAGTGAAGGAAGAAAAAGATCCAAGTAAATAAGCCAAAGGACAGCTACAGGGGCAGCCAACCTGGTTATCAAAGGGCTATGTCTTTGTTACAGACAGTGTAGAAACCATTTCACATTCCTAGTAGAATCTCTTCTTCCGGATCCAGGCTGGTGGCCTGGGCAGGGGCTCTGGAGGGGCGGTATGGAGCTAGAGCCTGCCGGAAGGGGCGGGCAGTCCCATCAGGCAGATGGAACACTCCTTAAATCCACAGATCATTGACACGGCTCCCTCCCTGCTCAAAGGTCCTGCTGTTGGCTCAGAGACCTTGCCTCTGTGTGGTTCCTGTAGCTGGGGAGTTGGTGTTCTACCTGACCCCAGGGCAGGCTGTCTCTACCCACCTTAGCATGAAAGTCTCCTCTCTGAATCCTTGTAGACAAGAGATTTATCCCAATGACGCATCCCTTTCATAAACTTGAATTCCCAGGACCATTAGAAAGAGGGAGAAGAAAGAAAATGTTCCTGGTGAGTTTACTCAGTGCTGTAGAATACTGTCCATGCTCTATTTAATTGGGAGACGTGGGGGTCTTTCAGCAACCTACTCACACAAAGAGACTCAATAATGCATGATTCGACCCTAACAACAGCACCCAGTCCTGCTACAACCCATGGGGCTAACATCTCCAGGAAGAAATCAATAGCACTGCTCTTTCTACAGGGCTTCTCCAGAGCCCACCACCTGTCCAGGCCATCAGGCTACAATGAAAAACCCAAGTGTCCATCCAGAGCATCAGGGACAGAGATGGGGCCACAGCTGCCCACAGCTGCCAGAGCTACATTCACAGAAACAGATGTGGCCTAGTCCAGCGAAGGAAGCATGTTTTTCTCCCATTTAAATGGAGTGTCCTCTCTAAGGAAAATTTCCCTAATTCATGGCAGGGCACTGTGGGCTGCAGTTTTACCATTCTGGAGCTGAAATACAGATACAGATACAGCAGCCTCTTGTCTCTCCTGGAGGGATTGCCAATGTTTCTGGTTCAACACAGGGAATACAGTGTGCTCTGTTCCTCTATCCAAAATATATTTTCATAGCCAGAGAATCAAAGAAAATCAAGACACTGAGGCAAGCGAGACATGTTTGGCTGTAGAAATCTGGTTTTGCTCATTGGGTGCAAGTTAGACAAATAATAATCATTGCCTGTTTTCTGCCTTTATTCTAAAATTAGTGTGTGTGGGCACTTGAGGTATCATTCAATGCACTTGAATTCTATGTGGTAGATGAGAACAGAAAATGATTCGACCCTTTAAGAGGGAAGGATTTCAGGGGCCTCATAGGCTGGGGGTAGAGATTTCTAGCTTGAAGAAACATCTTGCTAGGAGAGGAGTCTCTCAGTGACCTGGCTCTCCATTAACATTTGTTCACTCTCCATTGTCTGATGCCTGGAATGACCTTTGTTTATCATATGAAAATCTGTTCCAAGGAAAGCCTACAGGGTAAGTTTTATGTGGCTGGTGAGGGAATGATCACAGCCAAATGTGCCTCTCTAAATTTGTAGACATTGATTAGCTGCTTTACCAGGAGCAGAGTCAGTCCCTGAGAGTATAATCTGTGGTTTTACAAAGAAGAATTTGAAGACCAGTGAGATTTGGTAATTCTCCCAAAGTCACACATCTAAGCTGTTCAAGTCTCTAACATTAAACAAACTACTACATATGTGCATTTTTGCAACCCACAGCAGCCTCTACAGATGTTAATTATTACTATGGCTGTTGGCGCCACCCTGGAAATATATCCTAAATACAAAACCAACTACCATGATTCAGCTCATGATCAGAACTCCCCACCCTCTACCCAGAATAAAACCACAATAATCAGGTTCTACAGTTGCTGCCATCCCCACCACCTTTCATATATATATATATTTTTTTTTTCTTCACAAGTACCTGCTAACTGCAGTCTTTCTGTACTGAATGAAATTTTCATAAATTCGATCTAGATTCTTCTCCATCGGACAGTGAAATTCTCCATCTGTTTTTGTCTGATAGTTAACACTTTCTGAAAAAGGATCTCTGTTTTTGAATTGGATAATCCCTGGCTCAGCTTAGAAACATGTACTTTTTTTAAAAAAAACGGATAAAGGTAATGAATAGAATTAGTATGTGACTCCAGCCCCTCCATTCTTCAAATAATAGTGTCTTATTAAAAGTGGAACGTCTTTTTCCAGTTAAATTTTTTAAAGTCCCATTCAGTCCCCCAGTTACAAACATGAGTGACAAGCTCAGATTCGGGGCTCCTGAATTCCAGGCTGAGCCTAATGCAGTCCCTTCACAGGAGAATTCTCCTGCTGTGCTTGGGTGTTTATTTGTTAGGGGCCGTGAAGATGGGAGAAGTGAGGAGCGAAGCAACCCCCTCCCCAAGTGTCTGTGCTTAGATGGGTTGACCCATTGTAGACGGAAGTGAACACCCCATCCTTCAATTCTTGGCGTTATCATGGGTTCTTTACATTTCGTTCTTTTTCTCTTGATGAATTCGTAAGTAAAACATTAATTGTTCATTTTAGCGCAGATCAACTACTTCTGCGCCTCCTGATGTTTGCTGGGCGCGCTGGGCGAGCGCCCTGTCACCCCATTTGGTTGGGGCTTATCTCCCGCATCCTGCGCACCATAGAGAAAGTGTCGGACAAAGAAGAGCCGCAGAAACCCGGGGCTTGCGATTGTGGGAGCCAAAATATGGCCCAAGAAAACTGCTTAACCAGTTCTCCGCAGCCACCAGCCATCCGACCATGTGCAAAACCATTTCCGCAGCTTCGCTCCGCTCCCTAGTAAGGGCCACCGGTGGTTGTTACCACAGCCTTCCCCAGACCCGCACCCGCGTCCAGCGGTCGCGGCAGGCGCTGACCTTCGTGGGTGCCAGTGTTCAGATGTCTCAGAGTCTTCGCTCAGTCTTTTCTGTTCCCCTCACCTCCACCTGCTTCCAAAGGGACTCCAGGGACGACCCCACCCGTGCCTTTTCCCGCAGATGTAAAGGGTTTCCCGGACAAACTCTTAACTGTTGAAATGTAATTATGTAATGGGAGATACCAGGTCGTTCCTGAGAGTCCGAAATCGGGGAAATCGCATGTATACTTCTAAAAATAGCGCTGGGAATCTTGTTCTGGTGGATTCTCTACATCTTAGGCTTGGCAAATTTACATAAAGAGGGTGGATTCTGCATTTCAAGTCCCATTTATCTAAGAGTTGAATTCACCCCAGGGCTGAGCAGAATGTTTTGAGTCTTAGACCTGGCCTATGATGAGAGAGAGAGAGAGAGAGAGAGAGAGAGAGAGAGAGAGAGAGAGAGAGAGACTTGGGCCTCAGTAGATACCTGGTGCTCCTACCACAGGGTGGCTCAGGGCTAGGATACTGGTTGCAGCAGGTTTCAAGGACCCACTCCCCTATCACCAGTTTCACTTGCCCTCACTGCACAGGGAACATTCTCAAGTGGCAGAAGAGGAAAGAGATTTCTCTAGTAGAGAACTCCAGGAGGGGGTTATTTCTGTGGACCATCAGTCCCAGAATAAAAAATGCCATGGCACAGCTCTTTATAGAAAAAGGGGAGAGAGTATTTTGTCTTGTTTATTTTCACTGCTGCAGCTAAATCCTCTAGAAGGGGTATAAGTAATGGGAGTCCTTGTTTTCAAAATGGCTAACTCTGCCTCTGCTTCCCACCTGTGTTGGGGAAGTGGTTGCTGCTTCTTTGCCGAGAAGCCCAGGCAGTACTCTGGGGGGGGGGAGAAAGAGAAGAGAAGAGAAGAGGAGAGAGAGAGAGAGAGAGAGAGAGAGAGAGAGAGAGAGAGAGATTCTGCTGCCTGCATGTTCCTTCTCTAGTGGCCCCCGGTGCAGGCTGGCTAGCTCTGGATCTGCAGGTTCACAAGCTTCCCAAGTCTGACATACTCTACCTGGAAGGATGTCTGTAGATACCATTTCTCCGTCTTTTATCAACACTATGGGTGCTTCACAACACCCAGCACTGCCCAAGGAGAATTTTAATAACTGATGGCTTTCAAAAGCAGTCTAATACACCAAGGGCTGACCTTCAGGAGGCGCGAGGGGACCACTGGCTCCTGACCTTCAGGACCTTTCAGCGTTTTACACACACACACACACACACACACACACACCGCGGGGTGTCTCCCCCACGCTGAGAATGAGTCCGCCCCCCTCCCCAGTTGGCCGCCAGGACCAAAGCCAGCGCTTTGATTTTCCAGCTTTAGCTTCAGTAGGTGTCGCTTCTGCTCATATGTAAATATCAGGTGCATCAAATGAGGTGGGAGAAGAAAAACAAGCAGAAAGACTGCAGTGGAAGAAAGACCCCCTTTTCTGCACGGTTTACTTTTCAGCTCGGGTTTAGCAAGAGGGGTGGGGAAGCCGAAAAGAGCTGGAATCCGCCTAGGCTGTGGTGTCGGCTGGCCGCAAGGAGAGTGGAGAATTGAAGCTGCGAACTGGATAAATAGGGAGCAATGCGCTAAACTCTAGAATTTGACAGATATTTTGGCAACGCATGCGTGTGTGGACAAAGGACTCATTACTCTTGTGATTGCATCAATTCTCCACTTCTTTTGTGTGCGTTTGCGGATGCCAGTCCAGGCCTGAGCCAGCCTCCTGCGCACAATGTACTGCGCCAGGTCGCCGCCAGCGCGCATCCCTCCGGCGTCCGGGTCTCCAGCCTGCGCGGCCATCAGAGCCTGGCCGTCAGATCCGCAAGGCGCAGGTGGCCGATCTTTTTCACTTCGCGCAGGGCAGTGCGCAGCTCAGACTCTGGCTGGCAGAGCAGCCAGCTCTCTGGGGACGGCGGCACGTTTGCTGAGGCGCGCCGCCAGCACGAACGTGAAGCCGAAGCGCGCGCAGTACTACTCGTTGAGCTCCGCCAGCCGCAGCCGCTCCGGGTTGCCCAGGCTGGTGAGGCCGGCGCCGCTATGCTCCCGCTGCGACTCCGCGGTGAGCGCACCCGGCTGCAGCTCCCGGCCCGCCAGGTCTGGGTGGCAGCGCAGGATCCCCTCCTGGCCTATGGAGAAGCACGGACAAGGGTTACCGCGCGGGACCTCCCGGCCGCCAGCAGCACGCTCTGTGGGGTCGCAGGCCGCAGATCTGGCCGCGGATCCCACCCGCCCTGAAGGAGGCTGAGAAGGCCAAGCAGGGTCCCCCAGGTAGCTGTGTCCCTGAGGCAGGGGCGTCCACTGCGCCCTGACTTCTAACAAGTCGCTCCCCTCTGTCCTAGCCACGCTCGGTGGCGACCAGGACCTGGGGGCGGAGCGGGAGTGACAGGTTTGTTCTTTTAGTCTGAGGATGGAGGAGTGGAAGAGAGAAAGGGCAGCCGCCGAGGCTGGGAATTTACGACCTGCTCGGCGAGAGCTGGGGAGCGATAAGGGGCCTGGGCTTCTCCTATCTTTTCAAAGTCCTTTGCTCTCAGGGGGGCTTTGATGTTGAAAGGGGCCGGACGTGAGGGCCTGAAGACTTCCTGAAAAAATCCTGGAATGGGTTTAGTTCTGTCCCAAAGGAGAAAAAGCAGAGGCGGGGTGGGTCCAGGGGATAACATCCACGGGGCTTGGCAAATAAATGCCCAGGATTTTGTGACCCTAAGTGTGAGTTCTGGGTTTCTGGAATAAAACATCCTAAGAGCCTCGCGGATTAACTGCAAAGAAACCCATTTCCACCGGAATTCCTCCACCCTTGAATGCTTGTTTCTTTTTGTTATTTTTTTTTTAAGCGAAAAATTTGCCCACCCTCTCTGCCCTGGTTATGCTGTGCGGGTTCTCTATCTACAGATCCCAAAGAGCGCACAGAGAATACGGTTTGCTTGGAAGAGAGCTTCTCTCACACATAGGCCCTAAACCGGAACCCAGCGGATTCCCAGTCTTGAAAGGTCACTTCGCTTAGCTCTCTAACAGAGAATTGGAATTCTGGGGTTAGACAAGATCTCAGATATGGCCAACAGAATCAGTAAAACCAGGGCAGTGATACTTAACTGACCGAGTGGTGAGGATTAGTGACAATTTATTTTCCTATAGCCCAGAGCCTAAAACGGAGTAAATATAAAGCAGTCCATATTAGTAGTAAGCCCAGAGAAACTGAACCACAGTGTGTAACTGGGAATAGGTGTGAGGTTCTGTAGCCTATGGATAGCAAAGCATCCTTTATCAAATTACTTCTCAATACCTGTGAAGAGAAAGCCCTCTTTAAATTTGGTGCAGCCTCTTCTTCCTCAAACTTAGTTTCTCCCCAAGTGTCAGGATGGCCCATGCCAACTATCTCATGACCAGTGTCCAGAAATGTTCTTGATAATATTCAGTGACTGGGACAGGAGAGATGGTTCATCAGTTAAGAGCATTCCCTGCTCTTGCAGAAGACCCATGTTTGGTTCCCAGTAACCACGTGTGGGGGGCTCACCCCTCTGAAACTCCAGCTGCACACCTTTTTCTTGGGAACCCCCTCCACATACATGTATAAATAAAAGGATCTTTTTAAAAATAAATAAAAGGGAATTCAGTGGAGGGGCCCAGAAATCCTTAGGTGATCTCCCCCCAGGTCTCTGAGCCCACCTGACCCTCCACTCTCAAACCCAGACCTTTTTAGTGAGTTGCCTGTCCCTGCAAAATTAAGGGAAGTACAAAATGAAATTCAGGTTACCGATCCCATCCTTTCAACACCATTGTTTTTGAATCCCTCCCGTGGGTACCCCACATCCAGGCTGCTGAATCAGGAGCACTTCTCTCCTACGCCCTGCAGCCTATCTTTGTAGTGCGAAAATCTGAATGTTAAATTCCCCACCTGGGGAAGCAGCGGCCCCAGCCCTGGACTCCTTGACTGTGCCTCGCTGTGCCCCTTGTCCACCCAGTCCTGGGATAGGCAGACCGGCATGGCGGCTGCAGAGGAGGAACGGTGAGTCTGGCACCTTTGCCCTAACTACAGATCAGCGCTCACCCCTAACTCCTCTCCCGCTCTGAGTTTCAGAGCAGCTTCTTGGCTCCAATTGCTTTACAGCGCCCTCAGGGACCAGCCCAAGCTGCCACTGAAGTAGTTATTGGTGGCGTGCTCAAGAGTGGGAGGTCTGTCCTCTCAACTAGCCCTCACCAGGTTCCTGGAGCAGGCGCTCGCTCCGGGACCAGGAGAGGGCTGAGGGCTGCGGAACCTCCCCCCAGACCTTCTTGCCCTTGCCCCTCACTTCTCACTCCTCCTAGGGTTTATCTCCCCTCTTGAAATCTTCGCCTGGGTTAATGTTTGCCTAGGACTGAGATGTGTTTTCCACTCTTGCCGGGAGGACCGAAGGGGGAAGAGAAAAGAGGAAAGAGGCCTGGAATAGGGCAGAGCAAAGGGCAAAAGAAAAGTCGCTAAAACAGAGGAACTGAAGCACACACACACACACACACACACACACACACACACATCCTTCAGCAGCACATAACAAGAAAAAGATGTGGAATGATACTGTATTCAGAAGAAAAAGAGCTGGTTTGCCCAGCCAAAGACCCCACCTCCACCTCTCCAAATTCCTTGGGTACTGCAGGGGATGGCACCCACCTGCCTACAAGTGCACAGCAAGGACCCTCACCAACTCCCACCAATATTCTATCTCCAAGGTGCCCCAATTGCAGACGTAAATCCTAGTGGGAGGTTGGAGATTGTGGGTAGGCAGCCTGCATTCTTGAGTCTACCCAACTCTGGGCAATCTCATGCCCCTCATGGGTCTCAGAACAGCTCACTTAAATTCTGAACTTTCAAACTGTGTTATTTGGTGTCATGTCTAGAGATGTAGGGTAGATCCGTGTTATTTGCTGGGAACACAGGATGCAGATGTCTGCACATAGAAGAATTTCTGGCAGAGCCAATTCTTATGGCTCCACAGGAGAAGTGGCCACTGAACAGTAGGCAATTGCCCACAGCCTGTATTGTGGTCCACCTACCTCCCTGTGTCTTTACCCAGTAGTGTGTTCCACTCTTGGCACAACAGATGATCTCTCTCTTCAATTAAAGAGGTGACTTGGTGGATAAGAGCACTGGCTGCTCTTACAGGGGACCAGGGTTCAGTTTCCAGCACCCAGAAGGTGGCTAACAACCATGGGTAACTTTAGTTCTACAGGATCTGATGCTCTTTTCTGGCCTCTGTGGGTGTTGCATGCACATTGTGCACTTACATACATGCAGACAAAAATGTTCAGATGCATTAAAAAAAAAAAAAAAAAGGACCAGTCCCTTTATCAGTGTTCTTTTTGGAGATGGTGTCTTACCTAGCCAATGCTGGCCTTGAACTCCTGATTCTCCCAAGAGCTGGAATTGCAGGTGTGTACCACCACCCCAGGCTTTGCTTTGTTTCTTTGTTTTGTGTTTTGCTTTTTGTTTTCTGAGCCCACTTGTGCTCTTTACTTCTCAGACTTTGCTTCTGCAAATATGCATTTATCTTCCCATCCTCTGTATCCCTATCCCTGTGCCAACAAGCTGCAGAATCACTCATCCCATAGGCAGAATTAAAGCCTCCCTTAAATTCCTCATTGTCCTTATTTCTCTATGCTCGCTTTTTTGTTTTTTGTTTTTCTTTTTTTGTTTCTTTTTGAGACAGGGTCTCCCTGTAGATCCAGCTGGTGCCTGGACCTCACTGTGTAGACCAGGCTGGCCTCCAACTCACAGAGACCCACTTGCCTCTGCCTCCCTAGTGCTAGGACCTAAGTTGTGCGCCACCATGTCCAGCTCTCCTTCTCACTTCTAAACTGCCAACTTTCTCACTTCTCCAGGTTGACTCTACCAAGCCTCTGCCATACCTACCAACCAATCTGTGCTCATCAAGGTCAATATGACAGCCGTCTATCCTGAGCTCAATGGCTAAGGGCCCATCCCTTTCCCTCTGACCCTGAGGGAAGCTGGCTCTTGACCCTCTCTCCCCACTCACCTATTTTTGTCTGGTTCAGCCAGATTAGTAACACTGAAGTACCCTGAGGCCTCAGGACTCACATCTTTTTCTTCCTCCATTCACAAAGATGCACGAAGTTTTCTCATCCAATGTTTTTATTTTGTTAAAAAAAGCATTTTCTGAGGTAGGTTGGCCTCAAACTCAATATGTAGCTGAAGATGACTGATATAGCTGAGGATGACCTTGAACTGAGCCTTCTGTCTCCACCTTCTAAGTGCTGGGGTTACAGGCATGCACTACCAGACCTGTATTATATGGCATGCTGGGAATCAATGCATGCTAGACAAGCACTCTATCAACTCAGCTACATCCTGGTCCTCTCATTCCATTTTATTTTATTAAAATTTTTTGATTTATTGTTATTTTTATTTATTTTTAAATTTTTATTTATTTTTATTTTATGCATACGAATGTATTGCCTGCATGCATGAAAGTGCACCCATGTGGTGCAATGCTCATGGAGGTCAGAAGAGGGTGTTGGATCCTCTGGAACTGGCGTTACAGATAGTTGTTAGCTGCCATGTGGGTGCTGGGAATCAAACCTGGGTCCTCTGCAAGAGCAGCCAAGGCTCTTAACCACTGAGCCTTCTCTCCAACCCTTATTTTATTTTAATGTTTTTGATGCCAGGGATGGCACTCCAAACCTCCTGCATGTTAAGCACATACAGTAATCCAGCTTTAACTACTACCATTTCTTCCATGATACCCAGATCTAGTTAGTTCTTAGGGTTTAGGGAGTTAGACCATAGCTTGAGTTCCTTTTTCATGATCCAGTAGAGCGCTCATCGTCTTTAATTGGGTGGTTTTTAGGCATTCCAGAACTAACAAGTTCCCATTCGCCTCACCTCTCACTTCTATGTCTTCATCATCACCCCCCAAAATTGTACCACACCCAGTCAGTTGTTCAGGCTAACTATTTTTAGGAGTTATCTTTAATATTCTTTGTCTTTTTAAAAATCTTCCCCCAGCAAATCCATATGCCCAAATTCTGTTGATTTTAGCTCCTGCATCTACACCAAGAATTCAGAGGCTTCTCTTCACCTCTGATGCCCTAACCACAGTCCAGATAACCTGATCTCTCACTTTTACTACTGCAATAGCCCCTTCTCAGATGACCTCATCTCCTTGTGTCTGATGTAGCCCCTACTCAACCTTTTAAAAAACTGCACACAATGTATTAGTATTGCAAAGACACACACACACACACACACACACACACACACACACACATACACACATGCTGGGGTTGGAGCACAGGGCTTCATGAATTCTAAGCAATGCTCTACTATGGAGCTACATCCCTAGTCTGCAAACCTTTTATTATATAAAAAAAGCTTTGCATGATCTGACCCTTGCCTGTTCCTTTTTTCCCACCTTTCCCCTCTCTTTGCTGTTCTCCAGTCACCTTGGTCTGTCTGTGTCCCCCAAATGTTAAGTTCATTCTGGTCTCAGTTTCCATTTCTTGAGTGAGCTTATCCTCAAATATGGCTGCTTCCTTCACACCCTTCAGAGTTTTTTTGTTTAAAAAATATTTTATTTATTATTGTTATTTTGTGTGTATGAGTGTATTGCCTACATGTATGTAAGTACACCCATGTTGTGCAATGGTCTCAGTGGTCAGAAGAAGGCTTTGGCTTTCCCTAGAATTGGAGTTATAGACAGTTGTTAGCTGCCATGTGGGTGCTGGGATTCGAACCCAGGTCTTCTGCAAGAACAACCAGTGTTCTTAACCACTGAGCCATCTCTCCAGCCCAGTTATTTTTATTTTATGTGCATGAGTGTTTTGCCTACATGTGTATAAGTGTATCACATGCATGCAATGCCAAAAGATCCCCTGGAACTGGAGTTAAGGAGTTGTTAGCCAGCACGTGGATTCTGTTCCCAGCACCCACATAGGGGCTTAAAAGCCGCCTGTAACTCCATAGGGGTTGGAGATTTAGCTCAGTGGTAGAGCACTTGCCTAGCAAGCGCAAGGTCCTGGGTTCAGTCCTCAGCTCTGGGGGGGGGGGACCTTATAATCTGTATTACAAAAGAAGTATTAGTATTCAAGTTGATAAGTATGTTTTCTGGCAAATGTTAATATTAGATTAAGGCATTATTATAATTCTGAAATGCCACAAGATGGGAACGGTTGATGTAACTCAGCTGTAGACCACAGCCAGCAGGAGACTGTGGGTTTGGTCCCCACCACACAGACAGGCAGATGACAGAGAAACACTGACAAAGAGACAAAAAGACACAGAGAGACATAGACACAGAGAGACAAAGAGAGAGCCACTGTCACACAGAAAGAAACAGAAGGAGAGACAGAGAGAAGAGGGGGGTGTTTTCTTGTTGTTGATTTGGGAGCGTAGGTACAAATGAAACCCAGAGCCTTGCACGTACTGGCTCTGGGGATGTAGCTCAATGGAACATTTCCCCAGCCCACTCTTTGTCTTTTAACAGCTCAGTACTGCATTAGTTCAGGAGCTTGTGTGTGTTATTTCAACCTTCTTTTGGTTACCAAAGCCATTACTGAACGAACCCTTTGTGAAAACTGGCTGGGGATGACACCGAATCAGGAAGAGCTGGATGCCCAATAGTAATCCTGCCCTGCCACCTACTGGCCAGTCACCATCATGGCAAACCTAAATGGAAGGTCACCCTTCCTTACTCTAAAAATCCAATTTTCAGTTTTCTGTGAAAAGCAGAGTTTTCTTAGACAATCCAAACAAATCCTTCCCCAGGAAGAGCCCCATGTCCCATTAACCCCCTAAAGTCCCTTCTAGATCTAAGGTGCAAATATTCTATTACCCAATTTCTTCCTTAATGCCCAAAGGCAAAAACTAGGCTATGTGGCAAGCCCCATTTGATTTGATATTTTTTAGAAATAAAAATTAAGCTGGGCATGGTGGTGCATGTCTTTAATTCCAGCTCTCGGGAGGCAGAGACAGGTGGATCTCTGTGAGTTCAAGGCCAACCTGGTCTACATAGTGAGTTCCAGGACAGCTGGGGCTACAGGGAGACCCTGTCTCAAAAAGACCAAACTCACAGAGATCCACCTGCCTCTGACTCCCAAGTGCTGAGATTAAATGTGTGCGCCACCACACCCAGCTCCCTCAGCCTTCTGAGTCCTAGGCAAGCTGGAGTATGCTCATTTATGCCTTCAGCAAACCTCTATTAAGTCCTAAAATCCAGAGCTGGGGTGGAGCCCCTGTTAGCACAGTGTTTACCTAGCAGGAATGAAGCCCTGGCTTCAGTCCCCAGCACCACATAAACTGGACATGGTGATGCTAAAATCCTAGCACTGGGAAAGAGGTGGATCAAGAGCTCAAGGTCATCCTTAACAACATAGTGGGTTCTTGGCCAACCTGCACTACATGAGACCCTGTCTCGAAAAGAGAAATAGTTGGAATAGTCTGCTGAGTAAGCCATCTGGCCAGCAGACAGGGTTGTTCAAAGAGGAGAGGAACAGAAAGAAGTCTCAGAAGTAGAAGCCAGGACCCTGTCCTCCCCGGCATCCACATGCTCAAGACCAGGACTAGACTTGTTCTTAACCAGAACCCTGGTCAAATGGACTGAGGCAAGTGTTGATGGGAAAGAAGATAGAAACAGACACATTTCATTTTATATTCAAGCTCCAAGTACAGAGAAATAAACCCAAAATAGATGTTTGTTGAATAGACAGATCAATAAATAATACATTTAAATTATTTATGTTATCCTAACTTTCTCTTTCAGATAATTCCTTCCCCAGCTTCACCACCAGTTTGGGCACTGAGACACTGGGATTTCCTCATTTTTCTCCTTTGTAGGAAAAAACATGCAAGGGCTGAGAATGTAGTTCAGTGGTAGAGTGCCTGCCTAATGTAAGAAAGGCCCTGGGTTTGATACACACACACACACACACACACACACATTATGTAACCCCATTAAAGACAGCTTTGCCCACCACTGAGGAGATTCTGATTCAAAGTCCCTGGACAGGACAGGCATGGTGGTGCGCACTTTCAATCCCTCTGCCTTGAAAGGCAGAGGCAGGCAGGTATCTGTGAGTACAAGGCAGCCTAGTCTATAGTGAATTCCAGGCCAGCCACTGCTACATAGTGAGACCATGTATCAAAAAACAAAAACAACCAAACACATGCTCTCTATCTCTCTCTGTCTCTCTGTTTCTGTCTCTGTCTGTCTGTCTGTCTGTCTCTCTCTCTCTCACACACACACATACACACACACTCACACACATGTGGTATAACCTGTTAAAGAAAGCTCTGCCCACGGCTGAAGAGGCTCTGATTCTGCTTTCTCGTTCCTGTTAGGTGTGAGCTTAGGCTCCTATAGATTCTAGGGCTCCCATGGACTCTTGCCTCTTCAGTTCACTCACAGGCTTTGAGCTGAAAAACTAGGGTGACCTTGTTCAAGCTGGGCTAGGTTGTTCTGTGAGTCACAGGTCAGAGGGGACTCGACATCTGTCAGTATCCTTCACCTCTGTGCTTTGGAGAAATGCTGAAAAATGTGTGAGTGTCAATATACACCTAGTATTTCTGTCAGTTTGGTGTTTGCTTGCTTGCTTGTTATTTGTTTATTAAGACAGGGTCTCACTATAAACCAGGCCAGCCTGGAACTCATGGTGATCCTCCTGCTTCAGCCTTCTAAGTACTGGGATTACAAACCTGAACCACCATGCCCAGTTTCAGTTCGATTTTTATCACATTACCCTCTGTTCTTATAAACAAGCTCCTCATTTGCAGATGTTCATGGGAGCGTTGGAAGCCATCCGGGATGCCACTGCTGTACTGAAGGCAGCTCTGTGTGTCGGCTCCTTGGTGACACCTCCCTCCCTGCCTGAAATCTGGGGAAGGTCTCAGGGGTAAGCGGCACTTTGTTCTCGTTCCCTGAGGGCAGAGCACATCAGGCTTCTTCTTAGACTCTGGGGTAGCCTTTGAAGTGGGGCAGCATACTGTGCCTTCAGCCTAGACTTCCACCCCTTCTTCCCATCCCAGGCCAGAAATAATTCAATTCTTTCTCTCCCTCGAAGACGTCAGTTTGCTCCCTTTCTCCAGAGGGTGTCCTTTAGTCTCTCTTCTTTCCCCTAGAAATCTCATATCTGAATGAATTCACTTTGTCTAGTCCAAACTGGCTCTTTCTTATAAACATGTTAGTATTTTGTACTCCCTTCTGGGCTGCTGGGATGTTTTGATACATTGCTGCCTCCACTCTTGCATCCAGGGTATTGCCAAAGTGGACATTGGGTGACTGAGAGGAGGTGGCCTTCAGCTGACCTTCAGCCTCTAATTCACTGAGGCCTTTACCCCATTCCCCCTCATGACCTTGAACCTCTAATGTTCAACAGCCATATTACCTCACCCCATCTGCTCTGTAGTCTACTTAGAACCTAACACCTTGCAAGCACTGAACTTATGCTGAGGATGTTTACTGAACCTTCCAATAACACCAGCTAAATAAATATATCAAGTTTAAGCAACTAGACTAAAATAATCTAAAAGTACTTTGATGTGATACTGGCAATCATTTTGCAGACTGCATGATCCTTAAGCCTTACCTAACCTTGGAAGAGCATCAATAAAGGCAAAAAAGTGCTTTCCTAAATCTTCCAAGTCAGAGAACAGACACTGGGACCAGACTGCAGCTGCAATCAGAGGACATCTCTCAATGACATTCCCAAACACATCCACAAATTCTCCAAAATCCATGGCATTGACCTTCTCTATGTCCATTGCTGGTATTTGACTGGAGGCAGTGGGGTGCCCATTTTGCTTTAGATGAGTGAGTGAGTGAGTGAGTGAGTGAGTGAGTGGCACTAACTCTTGCTCAGAGGGTTGGATTTGCTGAAAACTCGAGCTTGTTTTATGCAACACCAACTGAGCATGCTTTAAATGCAACACCAACTGAGCATGCTTTAAATGCCTCTGGGAGGAGTAGCTCCAGAGTGTTTGCGCAATGAGTAAACACAGGTTTAAGGGTTTTGTTGGGGGATGGGGACAAAATATGTGTGCTGGAAACAGAACCCAGGGCCTCACACAAAGCTAGACAAGTACTCTACCACTGAGCTATGTCCCACCCAAGCTCACGGTCATGACCAAGAGAACAGAGACCTCTGCATAGTGAATGTTTCCAACCAACTCAATCCTATAATCAAAGCCATCAGGGGCTATAGTTCACCAGATAGGCTCTTGGTATCATTAGCATTCTAGTGTCATTATATCAGGAGGCTTTTCCTGATAACTCAAGCAGGTCACAGGTCAACCTCCTTGGAAGTTGATTTCTCATGTCATTGTTGTTGCTCTGGAGGGCAGGCACTGTGTTTCATTCTTTCTCTGAACCCTGAGTACTTGACACAGCAGGTACTTGATAAATATTTATATGGGGCTAGATAGATGGCACAGTGGTTTAAGAGCTGCTCTTGCAGAGGTCCTAGGTTCGGGTCCCAGCACCCATGTGGTGGTTAACAACCATCTGTAACTCTAGTTCTAGGGGATCCAACGCTCTCTTCTGACCACGGGTATTGCATATACAGATACATTTATATGCATGCAAAAAAATCTCATAAAACAAAATTTAAAAATTGGGGCTAGAGAGATGGCTCAGCCATTAAGAACACTGGTTGTTCTTGCAGATAGACCCGGGTTCGAATCCTAGCACCCACATGACAGCTAACAACTGTCAGTAACTCCAGTCCCAGGGGATCTGACAGCCTCTTCTGACCTCCTCGGGCATTGCACAACACGGGCGCACTTACCTACATGCAGCAATACACGCATACACCTAAATAAATATATAAATAAATAAATAAACAAAATTAAAAATTAAAAATCAATAAAAATAATAAAATTAATACATATTTTTAAAAGTACTCATGAAACAAGATAAAGCATCTCAAGGGTTCTGCCCCATTGTGGCTGTTCTCTTCTTGAATGTATCTATGCTTCTCTGAAATCACCTTGAGGATTATATTTACTTATTTGCTTATAATCTCTCAGTCCTGACTATTTAATGAATCTATGGACTATGTATCTTGTTGCTGCTCTATCTTGGGAGCTTGGCACTGTGGCCATGGCAGCCATGCACTGAATTCACTGCAGGATGAATGAGTTGGCCACTTGAACATGTAGATTAGAATTCCCACCCTAATGTCTCCCATGTCTGCACAACTCAAAACGAATGTAGAAGGTGGCTTCAAGAAAAAGTAAGAGGGGCTGGGGCCATGGTTTAGTGATAGTTTGCCTTAGCATGTGTGGGTTCAAGTCTCAGTACCATAAACAAACAAACAAACAAACAGCAAGGTAAAAGTTTTAAAATAAATTACAATTATTTCTCCTTAGAACTAAAAATACAAACATATTTCCAAAAGTGTACACATTTGCATTTGCGTTGCATTCAGGTTACTTAGCCTGGCCCTTATAGTCTGAGAAGGCAGTGGTAAAAGTGCTTACTTAGCCAGCAACAAGGATTTTGCCTGTAGACTTGGTCCCCAGCAGGGGTCTTATTGTAACTACTGAGCCACTGACAGATTTTTTTTTTCCTAAGCTGAGGAAATTTGCTTAAAAATTTTTTTTAAAGAAAATTTTTATTATTTTTATTTTAATTTATGTGCATAAATGTATTGCCTCCATGCACGTAAGTGCACCTGTGTCATGCAGTGCCTGCAGACTTCAGAAGAGAGTGCTGGATCCCCTGGTACTGGAGTTACAGACAGTTGTTAGCTGTCATGTGGGTGCTGGGAATTGAACCCAGGTCTTCTGCAAGAGCAGCCAATGCTCTTAACCCCTGAACCATCTCTCCAGCCCTTAAAAATGTTTTAAAATTAGATTTATTTGCTGGGTGTAGTGATATAGGCCTTTAATCCCAGCTCTACCTCTGGGGAGGTAGAAGCAGGCAGACCTCTGTGAGTTCCAAGATAATGTGGTTTATATAGCAAGTTCCAGGCCAACCAGGACTACATAGTTTATTTAGCTATATTGTGTGTGTGTGTGCGCACGCGTGTGTGTGTGTGTGTGTGTGTGTGTGTGTGTGTGTGTGTGTGTGTGTTTTACCCACTGAACCATCTCACTGGCCCAGAAATTTTCCTTTTAAAGGGGGTAAGTCTGGTGCCAGAAAAGCCAGAATGACTGACCTCCAGCCACAGAAGGCAGAAACCACTACTACCCATTACTACTCAGTACTGCCCATTACTACTCATCCCTATCCATTCCTACCCACTACTACCTACATAGATGCTCCCTGGCTTACTTTATTTCATAATTAATTTCATTTAATTTTATTTTTGAGATAAGGTCTTGCTGTATAGCCCTGACTGGCTGCAAACTCATGGCAAGTCTCCTGCCTTATCCTCATGAGTGCTGGGATTACAGATGTGACCACATACCCAGCACTTGTCCCTGACTTATGATGGTTTGACCTATGATTTCTCAGTTTTATAATGAGGTAACAAGAGTCTCATTCAGCAAAATAGTACTTGCGGTTTTGAATTTGTGTCTCTTTCCCAGCTGGTGCTGTGTGCCACTTCCTTTCTTGTGATGCTGGACAGAGGCAACCACCTCAGAGTCCAGTCAGCCCTGACAGGTTCATGCACACATGTGCCATGCTTGGTGGCCAGGGCAGGATGTACACATTTTGTACTTTGTAAGATGGGTTTATTAGGATGCAACCCCACTGTAGGTTATACAACATATAGATCAGATATTGGGCATGAAATTTCAGCAACAGCACAGGGTTGAGAGTGTGGACTCAGGATCAGGATCTAGCCCACTTGCATTCTGATCTTGGTTCTACCAGGATCTATCTTAGTGTCTCCCTCCCTCCCTCCTTCCCTTCCTCCCTCTGTTCCTTCTTTCCTTCCTTCCATTCTTTCTTTCTTTAAAAAGATTTTTAAATTTATATGTAGGCAACTGTGTTACTGTATGCTAAAAGTTCAGGGGTACTCACAGAGCCCAGGAGAGGGTATTAGAATGCCTGAGGCTGGATAACAGGCTGTTGTGAGCCACCTGACATGGGTGAATTGAACTCAAGTCCTCATAAGCATTCTTAACCACTAATCCATGTCTCCAGCTTCTTCCTTCCTTCCCTTTTCTCTCTCCCCTCTCTCTTTTTCTTCCTTCCTTCGGGTTTCTTTTCTTTTCTTTTCTTTTCTTTTCTTTTCTGTGTTTCTTTCTTTTTTGTAACTCAGGGATAACCTTGAACTTACCATGTAGCCAAGGATTCTTGAACTCCTGATCCTCCTGCCTCTACTTCCCAAGTGCTGGGACCATGGGCACTCCTAGCTGAAGGTATTGAACTTTCCTCTACCTTGGTTTCTTCATCTGTAAAATAGGGATAATTATAGTATTTGCCTTATAAGAATTTTGCAAAGATTAGATGAATTAATTTATCAAAACATTGCTTGAATATAAATGTGTTTGGCATATATAAATGTACCAAAGCACCCAAAATGGTTCCTACCAAATATACCATACACGTTCTGCTATAGATGTAGCATAACGTGTACAATTCTTCTTTGGATCAGCCGTAGTTTTCTCCTTTTTTCGTTTTGCCATGCCAAGAAGTCACATCCTTCCTTTTTTATACAGGCAGGTTTTGACACTGACAGTCAAAAATCTCAGTGCTGTTTCTTCTTAGTCTTCCTCCATCATCACTGCCAGCCTCAGTTAATTGAGGACCGACCTGAACAACATCCACAGGAGCCAATGAAGATCGAGGAAAGAGAAGCCACAGTCTCTCTAGGGACTCCACTATGTAGGACCATATTCACTCCCAGGTCCCGTGGGCTGGTTAGTGGAAGAGGAAAGCCAAGCAGACCATGCAGGAGCTGGGACCCTGTTTGTCAGCACTTAGAACACTGCACCTTCCACTCTGTATTTGAGACAGGGTCTTAACTATATAACTTAGGCTGGCCTCACTCGAGGATTCTCCTGCCTCAGCCTCCCAAGAGCTGGGACTATAGGTATGTGTCCCTACACCTGGCTTCTGTGCCCTTCTGCATCGTTATCCCTTTCCCACTACTACTGTGAGACACACTGAGGGTTTCCCCAGGCCAGGAGCTCTGGCCCAGGTTCAGAGCTGAGTGTACTTAGCTGCAGGAGGTAGACATCCACCTTTAGATCTTCCACGTTAGAACTGCTTCGGCTGGGGAAATGCCGATATGCATGGTGGGAAGGAAGGTCTTGTGCTCCTGTGAGTGTTTCTGGCACACTATTATTAAGTTTCCCTCCATCAGATCAGAAACCATAAAGTCTATGGTATAATCACAGAGCTACAAGTGATCAGCTAGTGGAAGAACCTTCAGGACACACAGATTAGAATCAAGCTAGAGAAACAGCAGTGGCAGAAGCAAAACAGGCTCCTGACATAGAACTTGGCAATCCACACCACAAAAGCACATCCAGGCTGGGCTTCTGATGCTTTTCTTTGTTCTGTGGGGCTGGGGATGGAGCCCAGGGCCTCTAGTATATTAATGTAAGTACGCTGTTAGAGAGCTACACCCCAGCCCCTGTATAAAGATATTTTTAAGCCAGAGATATAATCTCATAATTTTCTAAATATATAATATATAATTTTTATATTCTGATGACCAAATATGTTATATTCAATGTCATTGTGATTTTTCTTTAATAATGAGGCTATCTTAGCAGTCCATAGAGAAAATTCTTTTTTTTAAAGTCCATTTGAGAACTTGGATTTTTAAAAAACATTTTATTTATTATTTTTATTTATATGTATG